CTCAAGGAGATCGGGCTTTGCACTCTCAGGGAGTACCTCAAGGAGATCGGGCTTTGCACTCTCAGGGAGTACCTCAAGGAGATCGGGCTTTGCACTCTCAGGGAGTACCTCAAGGAGATCGGGCTTTGCACTCGCAAGGAGTACCTCATGGAGATCGGGCTTTGCACTCGCAAGGAGTACCTCAAGGAGATCGGGCGTTGCACTCGCACGGAGTACCTCAAGGAGATCGGGCGTTGCACTCTCAGGATGTACCTCATGGAGATCGGGCGTCGCACTCTCAGGATGTACCTCATGGAGATCGGGCGTCGCACTCTCAGGATGTACCTCATGGAGATCGGGCGTTGCACTCTCAGTACGTACCTCAAGGTGATCAAGCTTCGCATGCGGTGGATCCACAAGAGCCTATGTCACAGGGTCGTTCGGGTCAGGAGGGGTCCGGAAAGAATGATGCCAGATCCAAGAGTCCAGACGCCGAGACGACAACACAGCCAACCCCAATGGAACTTTTGGGCGTGATCGCTACAGGCATGCGGCAACTGCAAGAAGTACAACTTCGCCAGATGGACAAGAAGGACGGTCCCGAGCTCGTGAAACCAGGGATATCTTCCCTTCCTCATCTAGATCCTCCTGGAAAGGACACTAGCCCAGTGGATATCCAGGACTGGCTGGAGGAGGTCGGCTCGATCATGGGCGACTTATCAGACACCAGTCATGAATGGTGGACTGAAGTAAGAGCGGTGGCGGACGAGCGCTACAAGAAGTGGGTCACTGCGACGCCGATGGAGAAGCTCACCCTGGCTTTGCCGCGGGACTCAAAGTTGGAGCAAGGAAAGTATGGCCGGGTCAATGCAAGGGCTGCGGGAATGATCCTGGGAGCTCTGCCGGCAGAGGTGAAAAGCGAGATGGTGACGAAGAAGGTTACTGGGTCATCGCTTTCACTCGTGTTCAAGCTGCTCACGACCTACAGACCGGGAGGAGAGCAAGAGAAAACGCTCCTTCTGGAGCAGCTGACAACCCCGGAGGGAGTGGCCACTCCGGAGCTGGCCGTGCAGGCGTTGAGGAAGTGGGGAAGGTGGTTCTCGAGGGCCAAGGACTTGACGGTCGCGGTGCCTGATCCTGTGCTCATGGTGAAAGGCCTGGCGCTGATTGGGGCCCCGGTCCTCGTCAAGAACCAAGACGTGTGGCTGAGAACAACGATGATGAGAAATCGGTTGCAGCTAGACAGTAATCCAACTGAAGAAACGACGTTGGACTTCCATAAGCACTTGCAGGCTGAAATGGAACTTCTAAGCACAGCGACTTCTACAGCTTCGCGGTCCGCACCAAGGATCAAGAGCGCAGCCGCTACGCCGGACGCTACGACAGCTACTACGGCCACACCAGGGGCGAAGGCGAAGCCAGACAAGAAAGAAAGGCTCTGCAAATGGTTTGCAAAGTCAGATGATGGATGTCGTCGAGGAGCGGAGTGCCAGTTCCAACATGATTGGGGGACGACGGCCAAAACGGGACGTTGTTTGCTATGCTCGGCCCTGGGACACCAGAAGAAGGACTGCCCGACGAAGAAGCAGGGAGAGCCAGCTCAGCAGTCTCCTACCTCTGGCCCCAAAGGCAGAGGGAAGGGAGATAAAGGCGGAGGGGGAACGACTTCATCGTCTACGGCAGCGGCTGATCGTTGGCAACTGGAGGTGGTCAAAGGGAACCGCCTCAACCTGGTCCCGAGCCGTCACCGGCTGGCAGCCCAGCGAGCTCAACCAAGGAGCCCTCTGGGGACCTCCAGCAGATCCTCACCGACGCCCACCAAATGCTGAAGACCATGATGGCAACGACAACCCCACCAACCACGACCACATCAGGGGCACCAACATACGAGTCCATCCAGCGCCAGCTCGACGAGATGAAGCTAAAGGCCCTCAAGGTGAGCACGCCGCAAGCCACTGAAGATGAAGGTCGTGGTGCTCTTCTTGACTCAGGAGCGACGCACGTCCTGAGGCCCGCTCGAGATGAACGAGAGCACCTCACGAGCAAGGAGGTGCCCGTGGTGTTGGCTGGAGATGAGAAGCGCCTGCTACGTCAGACACCAGCAGGAAGTATCATCCTGGACCCAGCCCAGGGGAAGGAAGCGCAAACCATACTGCCCCTAGGGGGGCTCGTTGAGTCTCTCGGGTGCACTTTGAAGTGGACGCGAGGGGGGTTGATGTTGAAGCACCCCAAGTACGGCACCATCCGCGCGAGAATCCGAGCAGGCTGTCCAGAGATAGCGGACCCAGTGCAGGCGGCAATGTTGATCTCAGAGCTAGAGTCGCGAAGGATGGACGAGCTTCGCCAAAGGACACTGGAGCTGCAGGACCGCCTCAGTGCGATTCGGATGATGGAGGCGAAGACTGAGGACTGGAGACAAGACCTCGCGGCCTACGCCTCCGAAGGGTGTGTCGTGGACGGATTGCAGGCCCTCTACAAGTCGCCCATTTTCAAAGGACTCCCCGACGAAGTGCTAATGTGAATGGTTCCGAATGTGGAGGCGAACGACAAATCTGGCTGGGAGTACCTGAAGGGCCTCCCTGTGTCACGGAGAATCCGGAAGAAGTTGATGCGGTCCAAGGCCTGGGTTCTAAACCTTTACGGTGGCAACAACTTGAAGCAGGACCCAGTGCAGTCGCTGAATGGCCAGGTGAACGTTGACACCAACTCGGAGGTCGTGATCATCAACGTGGAGATTCTGTTGCATGGTGGCTGGAGCATGCGGGGCCCGGCTTACAAAGCACTGATGTGGGGTGCAATGACTTCAAGGGTCAAGGCGGTGATCGGGAGCCCGCCGGCGAAGACATATGATCCCAGGCCGTATGTGAACGAAAAGAATGCGAAGCCTTGGAGAACCAAAGAGGAGCCCTATGGGATCACCGGTTTGTCACCAACGGAGATGTACTATGTGAACAAGGAGACCTCGCTCACCGCAAGGCAGATCCTTTTGTACCTGGTAGCTCACACGTGCAGGCCGGTGGGTTGGATGATGAGCAACCCGGGAGATCCTACTGGGGTTTCCGAAGCACAAGATGGAATTGACGTGTGGCAAACCCCTATGATGACGGAATTGCTTGAGGTGGTGAAGCCTTTGGGAGCGACTACTACGACAATAGGGGCAACCGGGGAGGAGGATCGAAAGGGAGCCGCAATTACGATCTGCGACAATCTCAACCTGAAGGAGTTCATGCAAGATGGAGGGAATCAGCCAGGACCTTCGTCTATGTCGTGGAGTGCAGCCGCAGCGAAGGTGAGAAGATCGTTGGTGACGGCATTGCAATTGGCTGGAGTGGCTTCAACCGCTGTGTGGCAGCCGCAAGAAGAGTTACGGAAGCTAACAGCGGAGCAAGGGTGGAAGCTACATGTTAAAAGAGATCATGTACCTTTCAGAAAGGACTGTGAGTACTGCGTGATGATGATGGGGTCTGGAAAACAGCACAGGCGCACCAAGCAGAAAAGCGCCTACGTCCTCAGCGTGGACGTTGGGGGCCCCATGAGGATCAAAAGCAGAAACACTCATGGAAGGGGGTACCGGTTTTTCTTGGCAGCTTCCTACTCGATGCCCAGGTTCCCTGACCAAGAACCCCCTCCTGAACCAGAGCCAGGCGACATGTCCTCCTTGGAGTACGACTTCTCAGATTTGGGTGCTGAGGAGGGGTCTGATGAGCCTTTGGATGAGGAGGCGCAGCGGGCACTACTTGAATCTGAGCTGGCAGACATAGAGCTGTCGGAACCCGAGGTGAGCGAGGACCTGGACCCGAAAATCCAAGCAATGAAGGCGGCGGATAAACTATGGGATGACGACGAATTGGTGGCTGAGGACCAAGCGAAGACGGCGGCAGATGATGAGCCGCTGGAAGGGAACCACGAGATCCCCATCGACCACCTCTATTTCATCAAGCCCCTCAAGACGAAGACCGGAAAGGAGGTTATGAGGGCGATCCAAGAGGTGGTGCTACAGCTACGACAAGAAAATCTTCCAGTCCTCAGAATCCACTCAGATCGAGCTCATGAGTTAAGGTCGCCGGCTTTGAGGGCGTGGACGCTGGATAACAATATCTGGCTCACAAGAACGGAGGGGCAAGCCCCCCAAAGCAATGGAACAGCGGAAAGAGCAGTGCGGTTTCTCAAAGGGCGAGCTCGAACGCTGTTGCGCTCGGCTGGAATGGGGGCCGAGCACTGGGCCACCGCAATGGAGGCAGCAGCCCATCGACAACGTGAAGAACGACTCCGACCAGAAGATCCTCGGGCTCCTTGTCCCTATGGAACCAGAGTGGCGATCAAGAAGAAAAGGTACGGGGATGGTGGTCGACACGATCTACTACCTCATTGGACAAAGGGGGTCTACATGGGGCCGGTGTGGGATGTGAATGGCGGATCAGCCATTTTGGAAGACGAGACTAAACGCTTCACGGTCACAACCCACCTACGAGCTCGATTACATGATCCCGGAGCTTTGAAAGACGAGGACGAGATCGATGTGCTACCTTTGAGACCGGCGCGAAGGTTACTCAAAAAGGGGCCCATTGGTGAAGATGGGCTCGCTATCAAAAAGGTTGAGAAAGAGAACTATGCGAAGGAGCGAGCCGCTCTTGTGAAGGAGATCTTGGACTTGATGGAAAAGGATCCAGTGCACAAGGTGAAAAGGCCGCAGCTGACTGTTGAGGACGGCGACCGCGAGGACACCAGCTACTCAACAGTTGGGGCTTTTAACTTTGGGGGAAAGTTTGGCATAACGAAGTACACAAAGGAGGCCCCGCAACTTACGGAGAAGGTGACCCAGCTGCTGAAGATGGACTTCCCAATGGAGGTGTTCACGTCGGCAACGATTGTGAGGAATGCTGTTATGCCAACGCACAGGGACTCTTTCAACGACAAGCACTCCTACAATCTTATATCTCCTCTGAGGACAACAAAGGGCGCAGGCGTGTGGGAGGAGCTTCAACCGGGCGATGTGTTTCGTGGAAAATATCATGCTATGGATGTCAACGGAGCCGAGGTCCCAGGCCAGATCCACATGCTCACGGAGCCCGTGAAGGTGAATCCCCGGAGATGGCATAGCCCCGTCCAGGGAACAGAGGGACTTCGCATTTTGGTCGCGGGACACACTATCAACTCATGGAGGAAGCTCACCGAAGAGATGAGGGAGGAGCTGATTGAGTGTGGTTTCGCTGTGCCTGATGAAGAAGACTTCGATGCGAAACTAAGGGCCATTCAAGAGGAGGTGGAGCAAACCCGCCACATGGAGTTTGAAGTGCACGAAGGCGATTGCCTGGGGGACCTCAGTGAAAGGGACTCTCCAGCGGAAGTGGATGAGGACATCACGAGATGCTCGAAGGCGGCAGTGGAAAACCTCTACACCAAGGACGTCGAGAAGATCCTTGCGGAGCTGGAGGGTGATCTGAGGGTGGTCCATACGGTCCACCCGAAGGAGGTCGAGGAGGCCATTGCCGAGTGGATCCCCGCCTTGAATGCCGAGGTCAGCACACTGGAAAATATTGGCGCGGTCAAAAGATTGCGAGGCCAAGCAGCGCGGGACTATATGGCTCAGAAAGGAGCTGTGATAGTTCCGGGCAAAGCCGTATTCACAGTGAAACCTCCGACAAAGGAGGGTACGAGGTTTCGAAGAAAAGCCAGGATCGTGTCGTGCGGAAACTTCCAGCCCAAGGCCGACAACGAGATCAACTACTCTGGAGGTGCAGTGGCGGCGGAGGCGGCGCGGAACCGCTGGAGCGCATGCACTGGGGATGTGGTTAGCGCGTTTCTCAGAGCTCCAGTGCCAGATGGAACGAGGTTGGCGCTGCGACCACCGATAGCGTTGGTCAAGGCTGGCTTGGCAGAAGCCGATGAGATTTGGGTGGTGCAAACTGCCCTGTATGGCTTTAGGTCTTCCCCTCGATGGTGGAGTGACCACAGGACCCAGAAGATGAAGCAGGCAAAGACTGAGAGTGGCCTCACCTTCATCCACGGACAAGCCGACGCTGACGTGTGGCAGATCAAAGACCCGGATGGAAAGACTACAATCGGGCTGATGATCGTCTGCGTTGATGATTTCCTTATCCTGGGACCACGATGGGTGACGAACGAGGCCTACGAGTGGATGGCTGCAACCTGGGAGGTCACGCCGTGTCAGTATGCCGAGTCCTCCACCTCCGTGCGATTCTTGGGAATGGAGATCAGACAGGAGACCAACGAGGAAGGGGAGATCACCAGCTACACCTTGGACCAGGAGGGGTACATTGAAGAGCTTCTACGACAACACGCGGTGAGCCCCACAGAGAAGTCCCTGTTGCCGTCGGCCAAGGAATGGATGGCAATGGATCCCGAGGCGTACCCCACCACGTACACCCAAGAACACCTACGTGCCGCCCAGTCGATAACTGGAGAGCTGGCATGGCTGGCCCAGCGGTGTAGGCCAGATTTGTCCTACACGGTTAGTGTGATGGGTAGCCTGACGACGAAGGACCCAGAGAGAGTTGCGACCATAGGCCGCAAGACCCTCGCCTACCTGAACGCGACGAAGCAATGGAAGTTGAGCTTCTTCGCTGGAAGCAGTCCGGATTTGGTGACTTACACCGACAGCAGCTACTCCCCAGATGGAGAAAAAGCCACGGTGGTGCAGTCGTGTTTTGGGCAGGGTCACCGGTCGCATGGAAAAGCAGCCGGCAATCGCTGGTAACAACCAGCAGCGCAGAGACTGAGTTGCTTGAGGCATCGGAGGGGGCGACGCTGACCTACTCGATCGATGCCATGTTGTCGGACGTCGGGATTGTCCCTCTATCAAGAGAAGTTAGAGTCGACAATTCGGCAGCAATCACGCTGGCTTCAGAAGAAGGAGGGAGCTGGCGAACACGCCACCTGAAGGTGAGGGCGGCGGCACTACGGCAGAGGATCCAAGAGGGATGGGCGCGCATTGCCTATTGCCCGGGAGAGTGGCAGTTGGCAGATGGTCTTACCAAGATCCTGCCGTCAAAGAGGATGGAGATGCTCATGCGAAGGTGGGGTCTTGGGCGCAAAGAAGATCTACTTCCGGGAGAAGACGCCAAAGAATGCGTTCGGTGCCTTCAAGCCCCAGCAGATCAGCCGCAGCACCCTACAACAGCAGAGCAGCAGCAGCACACCACAACAGCAGAGCAGCAGCACTTTGCAACAGTTGAACACCAAGCAGCACCAGAGCAGAGGACCACAAGACCACAGCCACCACCAACAGCCCACGGGGGTAACTTGGGTTGCTGTACCGGCTTATTGGTTCTAGCTCAGATTATATCTAGCGTACAAGGTCATAGGGTTTCCGAAACCGACCCGCTTCCGGAGCCCCTTGCGATAAGTAGCTCCTGGGAATTGTACGTGCTGGTAACAATGCTGGTGATATGTGCTGTTGCAATATGGGAAGGCTGCAAGGGCGTGGTCAGAGGAAGAAGTGAGGTGGTAAGGCTGAAAAGCCTCGAGACCTCACGAGATCGTCAGCGACTTTCAAAGGTC